TGGCTCGACCTTGTAGATTTAAAGCATCATCCCCTTTCCGTTAATGACAATCAGTCTCTATTCTTTCACTTATCTCTTCCACACTCATATTACATCGTTCATCATAAAATTCACATGAATGAAAGGTGACGATGTTTAATTTATCTATACAATGTTGTCATAAAAAATGAATATAGGAAATTTAAATGTATAAAATACTGTGTAATTAGCTATTAAACTACACTAAATGCCAAAGAAAAATCATTTTGAGAGGTTTAATTTTAGTATACACATAATTCACTAGGTGGCAGTAAAGGCCATACGGTATATGGAATGCTTACGCAACAAAAGCAAAACTTAGACATCATGCTCCGTCTTATATTCATGAAATATATTGCTAAAGTGTAAGGAAAAAACATGAATAACTACAGTACTTGCAAATATACGCAAAAGTTATGCAATGACTATATGGAGTTCAAATTTTCCATCTTTCTATAAAAGTTCTATAAGACCTCTAGTTTACAGTACTTATCCTTTCCAATTGTATCACTGCTTAAAAGTAAAAAAACGTGGATTTTTTGTTTCAAATCGACTTTTATTTGTATAGAGAACATGAGCTAGAATTAAACTATCAAAACATTCATAAAATGCGAAGGTATGAAACATTTGCGAGTTAATGACGTACAGAAACTAGGCCAAGAATGATGATACAAAAATATATAACAGAGAAACGCTTGTTTTGTGGAGGTGTATCGTCTCTTTACAAATTGAAATCAGGTACAGTTTGTGCAGTTGCACTAAATACGTTACAGTGAATCATGGTAATGACACCTATGCAGTCTGGATTCTAGCAACAACATAGAAGCGTGTTTACCCAGATGGCTTCTTTGGGAATACTTCATCCGAAATTTACTTTCTAAATTTGAGTTTTCTAGCAAACTTATTTGGGTGGTGTTTCTACGAAATTTTCTGATATTTAAGTAGTTACAACTTTTATTTTTTGGCATTGCTATCCATTCTCATATAACTTTTTTTTTAATGAATATTTATTGACTTTTATAGTTACGGACATATGACACTTTTATCCTCTGATAATGTAGAAATTGAGGAAGCTAAATTAGAAGGAATTTAATCCCTTAGAAATATTTAGTCACTTGTATTGTGTTTGGATTGTTGCCTGAGAGAATTTTACTGACGAACGAGTTCGGCCGGATCTGTGGCACATCTCTTACTATCTGATACATTGGCGCTACTAAAAAATATGAGAACGTCAACATCAATTTATTCTTTTAAGCCATGTCAATGACTTGATGTAAAAACTTACACCTGAGCGGCGTATTTAAACAAACAACATCAATTAAAAATCGTCGTGAGATAATCTATAGTGTGACTCGAATTTAAACTCAACAATTCATAAAATGCAAATTATCAATTTGTGAGTTGAGTTATAACGTCTTTTCTCCCTTCGTAGCCGTTCTTATTTGGTGTGTAATCTATTAGCAATAGTATAAGATGAGTATATTTAATACTTTTTATGAAAAAGCATTGTCCTTCTTTCTCATCTGAGTGATCCCAGACAAGTTTTTTACTTCATCATTTCGCATTCTCACCTTTCCAAAGCTTAAACTACTTTTTATGCCATTAAAAAGCAATTCGCAATTATCGTTGTAGTACTTGCATCTTTAATATATTTAGAGTTTTAATTAAGGTTATTTACAAAGTTTCGAATTTCTCGGTTCATTGAACTTTTTGTCACCTTCTTTTTTTTATGAAAATCTGAAATTCAATTGTTGTTATCAAAATTTTGCTTTTAAAACGCGATAAATGTCTTTATGATCTTGATCGTAGTCACGGATTTATCTCCGCTTTAGCAATAAACGAGAAAGTAGAATACCAAGTGGGGCAGAACAATAGCCTGTTTACAAGTTCTAGGATAGAATCAGAAACGGTTGCTACAGAATACGCTCTACTGTTGCAGCCCCAAATCTATTTGCACCTTCTGTCAAAGATGTTTTTGACCTTTCGATAACAGACCTTTTTGAAAAATTCCGGACAAACTTGATCACGTGGTCGGTTGGGTTCAGATTTTCCACGAGGGCAAAACAGACTGCTTAGCCTCTTCGATTAATTATGTTTTATTATTACGAAAACGTTCAATAAGAAAATCATCTTGCAATTTCCGGGTGAAATAAAGTTAACAATGAAAAAATCGAAATAAAAAAAGTAAATAAAATAACAAATGTTATACCCCGAAGGTCCAAAAACAATGTACTGTTCTAATGGAAAGGTTGAGTGACCTGGCTATTCTGAAATCACGTTCTTGGTCGGTCAGCGACTCAAACTGACAATCTGGCAGGTTAATGCAATGTCGCAATATTTTACTACGTCCTTCATCGTCCCGTTGGCGGGTGGGCGATCGAACCGATCGAATGATCAACGCTGCAGCCCTATCAAATTGAAGTCATTAAAGCTTTGCTCTAATGGTGCATAAAAGTAGGCGGAAAACCATAAGTTTTGAATCGATTTACTTTCACCCACGCATATTTATTTAAAGAACAGGTAGCGGAAGAGAAATCCTTGTAAATCAGATAAAATTGCCACTCCTATGAGACATTTTAAAACATATTCTATCTGAAAGTTGATTATATCATCTTACTTTGCATAGGAGAACGGATAAACATTTTGTCTATTATGTAATATTGATCGTAAAGATGTTTAGAAAACCATCTAAAGAGAGGAGTTTAAAAGCTGCAATTATCGTGAAGAATAGAAAGTTTTTGAAGCGAACAGACAAACTGCCCGAAGCTATCCCTTATGTATCCCTCCGCAGATACCCTCTCCGGCATAGTAACTGTCAGGGGGGGATATTTCTGTGACAATCTAGACTGGAAGGTGAAAGGTCATTTAGTATCTGCGTTTGCAATCAAAACTTTCTATCACCTGTCATGTTGACAGCTACTTCAATTGAATGATTAAAATGGTTACACGATTAAATACAAATTCCATCATTATCTCAATAGTGAACAGCAAGTGTCACGAGTTTGAACATATGAATTTAATTATTAAATTTATTAAAAAATTTAAATAGAAAGCACTATCCGCTAGTAAATATGTCATTCTTCCTAAAATCAGAGATTTCTCCGGATTTTAAAGTAATTCAATTTATAAAAAACAGTATAAAAATACAATTTATAAATCTCTTCCCTAATAAAAACAAATGGAAGTAGAACGACGCCAATGTGCCGCCATCTATCGATATAAACAATAACAATAGCTTTGAGTGTTTCCGCAGTTCGATTACGTATATTCAACTACGTTAGTTCTTATTACAAACTCGACTGGTCAGGTAAGTAGCAAGTAGGACGGAGTGCACAATACCATAAAAGGAAGTTTTAACAACCAGGAGAATCCAGCTTTTCGTTTCATACGCTATACGAACAATGAAAAGAGGTTAAAGTGCAAGGGTAGACTTCACACAACTCCGTTGGTTGGCTAGGTTTCGCTAGAACATTTTTTTATACCGAGGAGGGAGAAGAAAGGGGGCAGAGAACACACTGGGAGGTCCTCACACAAGTGATCTGATGAAGTTATTGAGTAAGTAATCGGCAGCTTTGTGTCGGTGTCTAGAAAGGAAGAAAGAAAGATGTAAAGTATAGAGCACGCTCATATTAGCGACTCCTCACTACGTTAACGTACGGGAACACATCTCTTGTTTGCACACACAAATCTAATCTCATTTAACAGAAACAGTGTAATAATTCCATAATATAAATAACGTTGCTACTGTCCTAAACCTATACAATAGAAAAAATAAGAAAAGAACGTAATAACTTGTAGGACTTATTAAATCTAATTTTCAGGTATATTAATAATCATTATATATAAATACAGTTTGAGCACAATTGTTCTTCCTGTCTAAGAATATTAAAATAATTCTCATTTGAATAAAAACAAATTCTAAATACAGTTTTTAACTGTAGGTGTGTTAGATCGATTCCCAAATTTACATTACATAAACCTGTGCTAGACAAAACTAAATAGCGATGGAGTATTTGTGTAGATGCGCACCTTACACGAGCAACGGGAGTTATGGATAAATATGATAACATACGAATAGTGTTACATATCTGGTAATTGAATCCCTCTTCAGAATCGTTGCCGCTTAACCGGAATTAACTTTCCGAAACTTCGAATAGAGGTTACAGATCGTTGTAATGAGATTTCGTAAACACGAGGCCAATGAACTTGGTAAAACGGATCATATAGACGATTTATATGACGTCAGAATCTTAACTCTACAATTCAATAAAAATGCCAAAAATTCGCACGACGTCACCTTGGGGATAACGCGTGCAGCATTTGGTCCCATCCCAACCCGACTGACGCCCCCAAGGGTCAAGAGGTCAATCGGAGAGGCGCCCAGTGGACAAAACGGAATGCTAACGGAAAAATCAGGTAGCAATTGTTTTTTTTTTTCTACCCAAACTAAATCAAGTGTAACCCATTATCTTTTAACTTTTATTACCCATAATTATAATCTCTTATAGAAGCTTAATTAATAACCCTAGAGGTGTTAAACGATTAAAGATCGATTTTATGTGCCAATTAACGAAGTGGAAATCGAAATTTCTCTCATCTCGGGTAAGGATCGGGAGTTAAGGAACGGATCAAGATTTCATGCTGGCGGAGAAGAAAATGAGTCGAAATGATCGATAGCATTCTGCTCTTAAAGTAACGAGTCTCGTTAATGCAAAGTATTCCGGAATCCTTGAACGAAGAGAGTCTCGCTTAAATCTGCGTGGATGATCGACGTGATCAATCGATCAGCTCTCAGCGTCCCACCTACCCTTACAAAACTACTCTCATCGCTTTCTTTTCTCCGTTGAAACTTACGAAAATGTTCACGAAACTTATAGAAACATTTTTTCTACAATCGTTTAAACACCATTTAACGCGTTCACACGTCAACACGTATACCGTGTTAGAGGCTAAACTAGCAGACGACTCGAGCACAAACTTACCGCGTTTACAGTCGCTGGTATGAGTAGGAACACGTATATTGTTAAAAACCTGTAAAGTAAAAAATATTTAAACAAAAATAAATAAAACATACTTTTTTTTCTGGAATTAATCTTTAAAGAAAAATTTTCTAAAAACGTCTTACCATATAGAAATAAATAGTCGATTTTGCGGGTGACCCTCCGTGCACTCCGGCATATTGGCCGCGTGCTTTTCTCTACCCTTATCCTTCACCTTTCATATATGTAGTACTTTTAATTTACTTTCAGTCCGCACTGTTCCAGTTAGAACGTGCTTGTCCCACTCACCGACTTGGTACCCGTCTTACGATCGCAAAACTTCTCTACCCGAAGCGCGCGGATTGACTTCTCTCCTCGTGAATGGGCGGAGTTGGTCACGTGACCCGAAATGAACTTGCCAGCTTGATTCGACTTTTACCTTTTCTTTAAATCGTTCAGGACGTATTTTTTGTTATTAAAAGGGAACGGTCCACCCGTACGTCTTCTTAACAATCCGGCGAGTGTATAATCACCACGGAGGGGTCGACATCACCGAAACGACCGAGTCTGGTGAAGTTAAAAATTCGTTATTCGTCGACATTTACGAGTTACTTAACGATTTCACGTTTACGTATCGGAAAATATACGGTTCGAACTTGAACAAATTGGTCTACGTGCTAGAAATTCGAGTGTGTTCGAGGAACTATATAGTTAAGCGGAAGGTTTGGACTATTGTGAATCGATGGTTAGAGCCGCAATGTGCGCCTAGTGCCCGGGCTGCTCAACATGCCTGTTAGTGTGCCTCAACTTCTGAGAGATGCTACAACCTGCGAATAGGAGCATGTAGGTGACACGAAACAAAAATATAACTGCTTAAAGCGGCATCCGTTCCTTCTCCGATTTTAAGATGACAGAAACTGTAAAATTTCATAAACTCGTAGCGGTGTCTGTGTTGATATTTGTTTATGTATCTGAAATAGAAGCAGCGGTAAGTTTTATAATGTTTTTATATATTCAAATGAACTTTTTGTAACTTTTTTCTTAATCGAAGAAAGTGTTTCATTTATTTTTATTGCTCGTGCTTACTCGCGTAGCCTTGCTACAGGGAAGCGAACTCTCTTGACTAGGCGCAACTAGTCGATCTTTTCGTGTTAAAAGGAGAAAGTGAACTTTTCAGGGTCGAGTGGATGTTGAAGTTTTTTTTTCTTCTCTTCGCGTTTCTTTTTTAGAATTTTAACACCTTTTTAGAGATTTTATTATTAGCGATTTAGGCTTTTTTAAATATTATATTATTATAAAACAAGTGTAATATATAATTTACGTATTAGGTCATATAACAATAGCTCTAGAAATTCAATTTTGACACCAATACTTTTTATGGTTTTAATAATTTAAATCCACACTTTCTGGTACTATTTGTGCTTGTGTGATGCAGACATTAAATATATTTTATTTTTCACGTTACGTATTATTCAAATTTTAAAAGGGAAGCAGTAAAACTTCGACTTATATCACTTTGAAAGGTATGAAAATTTCGGCAAGGTATCTTTTGAATCACCAGCCCGGTCAAAATTAGAACAAGTTAAAATACTGCCAGGAAGTAATTTCTTCAGTAAAGTGATTTTTTTCGTTCGGTATTTCTCACTTGTTTCTTTTCAACATTTTAAATATAAATTTTAACTCGGAATAAAAATAGTTCTTGTTTATAACAACAATTTTTAAATCAACATTGCACATTTTATACTTAAAAGATGAATATATTTGCATTAAAAATATTTATTATTATTTTAAAATTTATTTATTTGTTTATTTTGATTTAGAATCCAGAAATTAAATTTTGATGGAGAAATTCATATCGAGAGAATCATAAATGATTTCAAATCAGTCAAATGTTTAATTAGAAACGATTTAAATTGAACTTCGAAGCTTTTGTGAATTAAATTTTAGCAATGCGACGCTAAGATTTAATGAATAAAAGTAGTAATTGTCAATAGGAAGAGCGTTTTTATCGTAATTATGTTCTAGAGATAGTTGACCAATATTCAGAAACGATTAAGATTTCTTTTTAACTTCCCTGATTATTTTTCAAACTTCTGTTAGAAAACGGATCACGATTTTACTATCCCAGTATAATCTTTCATCGAACCTGTATCTTGAAACGGTCAAACTATTATTATGTTATCAAAAAACACTTCCGTAAACCCAGTCTTTTAAACCAGCTTATCTTTTTGTTATCCAAGTTTCGTGTTTATCCACGATTTTGCATGGCGTCGGCTTGTCCGTTCTACCTAATTATATTTCCGACAAACAAATATTTAAAATAGAAAAGATGTCTGTTTACGAAAGCAGATATAGATTCATCCCGGTCGTGTCCAGTTACATTCTGCTAATCCCGAAACAAGCCCTGTCGCTATATTGTGCAATAGCCAAGTTCACTGGCCTGTCATCAAAACTGAAAGAAAATTACGATTAGGAAGTTTCTTGCCGCTTTGAAGTATGCAGCCAACTAATTATCACTAATAAAAATTTCTCTGGAAGCCAATAGCTGTGATCTATGAGCATCTCAACGCCTACAGAAGGCAATCAATTGGACATTAAACGGTGCCAAGTGTTTAAGCGTCGTGCTGATTATTTTCAATAATGGTCAGAAATTAAATGATGAGCAATTAGATAATCAGCAGATAATGATCTGAGTTTGTTTCCCGAAGAGGACAAATTCCAAATGAGACAATGGTTTCCTATGTAAATATTTATGTGCACGAGCCAAGACCTCTGTTTGACCCCTTGTTGGCATCATTCTTAATTATCTCGACTCATTGATGTAACATGACCATAACTTGGGTCTCTGGTAAACTTCATTCTGTACGGTTGGGGGAAGTTCACTGATGACAACTGCACGATCTTTGCCCTCAATTTTCGTGGAAATTTTAATTAGTTTGATCGATACCGTACGTTTATGCGATTCTTTGTGGAAAGATAAAATTATTTTCAGAGAATTAAAAGTTTAGGAAACCTTTTAAAAATTTTAAGCGTTAAAATACCTGGAAAGATATGTAAAAAACGGAAGTTTAAAAACAAATACCGAATAAAATAAATGATTATCTTTCAGTGTTTATCGTTTAAAGGATGGCAGGGAAATTGTCTTTTTGTAATTTACTTTAGAATGTAAAGGACAGTTAGCACGATTAACATATCTTTATGCAAGAAATATTTTAATTCCGTGAATTATTTTTAGTCACTTGTTTAGAAGTCGACGCCATCTCTTAGCAAACATGTATAAAACAGATTTTAACAGTTTAGAGTCTTACTTCGGAATTCTCGACATGTTCTGTTTAATTTTTATCTTGGTGCTCAAAAAGTTGAAAGATATTTTTGAAAAAGAACGGAAATTTTAAACATTTTATTTATTTATTTATTCGACGAAATATACTGGAGTAAATTTTGGAAGAAAATGACCAGACTGTGTCAATTCTGTCTCATGATACGTATCTAAAGTCGCCTTGCATGATCTCTTTAATACATCATATCATTGATTATGCACTGATAAGGAGAGGAGCGTCACGAATCTCGTAATAAAGATTTCCCGGTTAGTGGAGAGAGGTTAAGGCCCCTACCCGAGATAAATATTGTTGACCACAAGGAATTGTGGTAGGAGAACCACACATTCCCACGCTGTCAACAACACCTGTGATTTGTTATTGAAATTACAGCTGTAAGTTGCGTAATGCCCTTGATTGTGTCCGGTGATGATGTCATGTATTCAGCTGATCGGAAAAAGTCGTGGCATTCCAGGAACAATGGAAATGCTTGACTTTCCCTTTTAGAGTAATTGATCCAACTAAAGATGAACAAACTAATTGATTTCAATAATCATAATATGTGACTAGCGTATACACCATTTTACAGTCCGTATGACTATCTTGTTTGAAACAAATATTTTTTAATAAGTGGTAATAAAACACTACATCTTCCTCGATGAAAACCATAAAATTGAATTTACTATTACTGACAACTTAATGACTCTTATTCAGGCAGCGGTCAAAGTTAAGACCTTGGACTTTAACTGTCTATACCGTTTATTTCCATAATTTGGGTTAATGGGCAAGTAAAACATGTAATAGTTATTTAAATTTTTATTCTAAATATTACAAACAGCATGCGGAAGACAATATCACGATTTTCTAGTTTAGTTTAGACGAAGATAATTCGCTTTAAATGAAATTGTCTCAATGAAATGATGACTGCAGTACTTTTTCTATTAACAATAAATCTTACAATGAAGATAGTAATTTTTCGATCATTTATGTTTCGTCTGTCTCTCTCCTAAATGCCACTACTGCCATTGTAAAGGTTGTAACACGCTAAAATATGTTTCTTGTCGATCGTTTTCGACCGTAAAATGGGTACCTCATGGGTTATATCAGTTTACATTCCTGAATGCCACCCTGACATCCTAAGCTGGCAACACCCATTAAGGCGCGGAAATAATTTCGAGCACAAAAAAACTAACTAAACGCCTTCCTTTTTACTTAAAAAAAATCATTTAAAAAATAGATTAAAACCTGTTTTTTGCATTCTTACTTTTGTAATTTTAGTGATAATGCGTAGGTTGATCTTAAATTCTTTTATCACGCCGAAGAACATGATTTAAACTCTAAAGAATGTTAAGATATGTTCATTTAGGTTAGATAAGTCAGAAATGTCCATTTTGTGAAAAGAAAACTAAAATACTTGTTGTTTAGTGTAAAATCTAGATTTTTCTAAACCGGTAAAAGAGATTTAAGAAGTTTTCTGTAAAAAAAATACTCTGATTGTATTCTAAAAAGTCGTCTAGTTCCGCCATTTGTAAAAAATGGTTCGTTCTTAACTAAATTAGAAGTTTCAGTAAGACATAATCATCTTATTTTCTTTGTTATTATTTTGGTAAACACGATTATATTCGTGATAAGCTATAATTAAAATTATATAAACAATCAGAAAATTTAATTCAGCTGATTAAAAAACAAAATGTTTATGACAAAAAAAGTGTTCAAAAGTTAAGCGCAGTTGGATAACTTAATTAAAAGTCAACATAAAAAGGCTACTATCAAGAATAATTTATTAGCTTACGTGGGCTTATTAGTTCTATAGCGCATATTTTTTGTATCATGTATCCATTAACAGCGTTTCTGCTGTACAAGAGTAATTAATCTAAGAATGATACTCTCTTAGAGTCATTAGTAATTTTTTAGTGGCGTATTTCAATTACCGTAATAAACGAAACTTCTATTCGTATAGAAATACATTGTGTCTATCATTCACAATCCAGTTAGAGTTACTGACATTGCGTCGGCGATAAAAGAGTCCTGTGAGAGTGTCCTGTGCATACTTTTTATGTCAATGAAACAGGTTCGTTTTCTTTTTTTGATAGCGCCTACACGAACAGAAGTCACCAGAAGTGGGCGATGCTAAATGAATTTTCTTATTTGTGCATTTTCTACTATATGCTTCCGTAATACATAATATGTAGGTCTATCTTTAAAGATATCAATTTTCTCAGTGCTCTTTTCTACTAGTATTTTTCGAGAAACGTCTGGTTTCAAGGTGTTTTGCCTCCATATCTTATTTCTTTCGTATGACTATAGGATATAAAAACGGTTTACAAACGGCCAAATTAATGGAATGAGTGTAAATCTTAGATTAACGTAACTTAATCCTGTAATTCGCGCTCGACGAACAGGAACTATATCGGATAAATCGAACAGATGGTTTCGTGACGTCACTTAAGCAT